ACTCGCCCTTTCGCCGAACCCCACCCCGTGGCCCCGCCTCCCCCCAGCGCTGATCTCAGCGCTGGGACTCCTGGCCACCATCGACAGGCCATCGCCGAGGTGCTGACCGAAGGATTGCGGACCCCGACTGGATGGACGGCGTCACCGACGCGGATGGATGGACTGACGGGCCACAGGAAGAGACAGTCGGGGGGCCGGGGGACCAGTAAAGGAAGCTGAGGTGCGGTCTTAGCGGCTGGTGCATCCGAGGGTCGGGGCGGGGTGGTGCAGGATCTCCCTTCTTTGGGTCTCTGGAGTCCGCTGGGTCCCTAATAAAGCTGTCCACTTTCTTTTGCCGCCTCTCCCAGACCTCTTGGGGAGTGTGAGGTGGTAGCTCCAAGTTCCCACTGTAGAGTTGGACAAATTGAAGGTGCTCAGACGCCAGGTGTGGTTGGCCAGCAAACTTACCAATTGGAGGCTGGTGCACTGACGCAGCATCCCCCATCCTCACCTCCACCTGCATTGCCTTTTCATTGAGTCCCTTGGGGCTGTAAGAAGAGTCTTGCACTTGAGGCTGCTGTATTCTGGCACCACCCAGCTCCATACCTTCAGGATGACAGAATAATCAGTTCCCAGGATGGGGTGGGAGCTGGCACAGCAATGTACCCCTGAGTTCTCTCCTAAGCCCTTGTTTCCCATTTGGGCGGATGGAATTCCAGAGGAGGATATGTTCCCAACATACTTATACTTAGGCCCTTCCACTTCTAGGAGACAGATATTTTTCTCGTGTCCTTGTGCAGCTTTACTCAGAATACAGCCTGACTTTGATATCCAGTGTTTGGTAACTGCCTAAAGCCTCATCTGCTCTCCTAGAAACCCCCTCCCAACCTGTCGCTAAGATGGCACTGCCAGGCATGGAGCTAGGTGATATCCTTTCGCAGGCCCCAAGGGGGCAGGTATGTCATTGGCTTTGTAGAAAGGGGGGCCTTAAAGGGCCAGACCTGAAATGAGTTCTTTTTCTCTTCTTGTCCACATGCCCTTCAGGTACTCCTTCTCCTGCCCCTACTCAGTTGTGAATGGCCTAGATACTGCTTTGCTAATCACCAGCTAAGCTGACTGCAGCTTAACTTGTCAGTCTGTGAAGTGGGTATCTTCACCTTCTGGAAGGGCTGTAGGGAAGTTGACACAGGGCAGAGGTCTGTCTTCCCCAATAAGTCATGGAAGAATGTTTTATTCTCATAAATCACAACTAGAAACAGGTAGTGCTTTCACTGGTAGAGCCAGAAGTTTGTTTGTTTATTAGGCAAGGTAACCCTTGGTTGACCTCACAGCTTGCAAGTACCTTAGATTGTCAGCTTACAATCCCTTATATTTTTTATTTTTTTAATTTATTTTTTATGCCTACAGCACCTGGTCTTCCTAGGTGGTCTCCCATCCAAGTACAAACCAGGTCCGACCCTGTTTAGCTTCCAAGATCAGATGGGATTGAGCTTGTTCAGGGTAGCATGGCCGTAGACCAGGAGTTAATTTAAAGTACTCATTTTGCAGAATGGCAAGATCACATGCCAGCAAGGGACAGAAGTAGGCCCCAGGCCTGTGTGTGTCTTCCTAGTGTCTCTTCCTTGCCCAGGAGCAGGGGCTAGAGAGAGCTGGTGTTGGGCTTGCCTGCTGTGTGACTCAGGACAACTCTGCCCTCTCTTTGGGCTGGTTTCTTCAGTCTCTCCCTGAATATAGCTGTCCCTCCTCATGTCAGGGCTTGGGAATGGGGAGAAGGGGATAGGATAAGATCAGAGTCAGAATCATGAGAATCTGGTTCATCCTAGAGTCCCGAGGGTCAGGTAGACTGCTTTGAAAGGCAGAGCCCCAGGGTCCCTCACCTGACCTCTCCCCCCCGCCCGGCCCCCGTTAGACTTCCACTCCCCAGGTATCAAACTCTTTGGCTGGTCTCTCAGCTAACAGCCAGGACTTCCTGAACCCATTCTTAGCTGGGGAAAGGAAGTCCAGGAGGAGGTCTCAGAGACTGAGAGCTTGGGGACCAGGAGAGTGGTGGGCGGCCCTGACATCTTCTGGCCTCCCTAGAGAGTGAGAATCTTCTGAAGCTACCTAGGTCATTTGGGGCCTAGAGGCCCAGAAAGGACAAGGACTTTCTGGAGGTGATGCAGTGAGGAGTTTTGACCGCAGTGCTGGGCTGCAGCCAGAACTGTTTGTTTTCTGGGTTGCCTGGAAGAGGGGACTTGGTCCAGAGAAGCTTTTAGCTAATGGTGTAAAGTGCTCTGTGCCGTCACAATTTTGCCTTTCTCTGGGATTTATTGGTAATCAGCTTTGTCCTGATTCGGAGGAGGGGCAGGGGGAGGGGAGAATTAGAGATGGCTCTTGCTGGAGAAGGTGGTGTTTATGTGCAGGAAATGGGGATTGGTCCTAGTGTCACAGGCAGCTCTCCCTTCGCTCTACTTCCGGAAATCCTACCACTTCTCACCAAGGGCCTTGGCACTCAGTGACCTGAACCCCAGCTCTCGGTTCACTGCTCTGCCCACTATCCCTCAGCCAGCTTTTAAAAGTCACCTTCCCACCCCTGCCAGGCCCACCTAGGGCCCTCTCTACGAAGCTCCATTTTCTCCCCAATCAACAAACATTGATATCCACTCAGTCGAGGGGCTCAAGAAGCAGCATTGAACCAGAGGGTCTCTGCTTTTTTTTTCTTCCCCCTCTTTAATTCCCCCACCCCCTACTTCCACCCTTGACCTATGGATGTTGGCGTCTCCCCTTAAGAACTGGATCTCTGAAGGTGGGGCATCTCCTCCCACACGCTCATGACGTGCACCTGGGGCCTGGTGCACCCGGGGACCGGGGGCCGGCGCGAGGGTCTCTGCTTTTAAGGATTTGTATCTCCCAGCCCTCCTCAAGGCACCCTTCCCTGACGGTTACCACCCCAGGTGACCCTCTGGGGGCTGGACAGTTTGTATTGCTGGAGGGCTATTTTTAGGCCTTCACAAATAACTATAGCCCCTGGTCAGGAAACTGACGCTCCCCCAACATGACTTCCCAAACACTTTCTTGATGGCTCCCAGCCCTGGGCACTGGACCGACTACAGGGATCTTGAGGGATCTGTGCATTGAGGACACTGACGGCCCCCAGTGAATATGGGATCTCATCAAAGGGAAATGAGGGAACAGACTTTCTTCAGGTTAGTGCTTGGGGCTGGGAAGCCAGTTCAGGGTTCTAGTTTGAGACCTGCCCCTCCCTCTGGATAAGTCCCTTCTCAAGAGAGGGTATCTCTGGATCCTCTGTGTGGTGCCACCAGAGGGCAGTGTGGGGCTT